ACTCTTTCAATATATAGTTACATAATAACACAATAATGTTGATTATTTTTTATAGCAGATACTACTTTCTGATGTTTATCAGTGTTCCTGGAATGTTTGTTTGAAAATGTCTTTTACCCTTCTGTATGTATGTACAACATTGCAAGTTTATTTTTGCTAAGAATAACTGATGTAGTGTGATGCTTGTTCTTAAGTTCCTATGGAAAGCTGCTGTTTATGGATGTTGTTTTTGAGGCATGAGTTTGACTCTCCAGGGTATGTCTAGTAATAACGCATCGTTATAGAAGCAGTGTTTTCTTAGAAGCTGTAAATCGATGTATATTTTAAGAATTGCTACTTTCAAACATCAGGTGGCTAAGTGCTGAAAGAGAAAACTGCCTTGAAAGTCAGACTAGTCCTGTAATCAGTTGAGTGTGTATATTGAGGTGGTAAATATTTTCTGATGAGAACCATGAACAGAATTGGTACACATGGTACTTCTGTAGAGCTTAATTGATAAGAATTACGAGCATACGCTTCTCTATAATGCCTTGTTTTGCCGAGTTTCATATTTGTTACTGGCGTTACTCTTCTTGTATTGTGATACGGTAAGCATGCAGAAGAGTGCTGTGATGTTTTAGCAGTACATCTCCACGCATCAGAAAGTGACGTTCGGATTCGGAGTACAGGTCAATGAATCTTGAAGAACACCTTAAACCCAAGTTAAAGGGCAAATAGCTACAGTGGTAACTTGTTTTCTTCACTAAAATAGAACGACAGACTCAAAGATACTGTGAAAGTAAGCTTAAAAACTGAGAAAGGTGAACAATTGCTGAAGTACTAATTCAAGGGTGCTTACTTAAAAATTAATGGCACCTAGCTCTTTACCTGCCTTCTGAACAGTGAGAGAAAAATGTGCAGATCCAATTTCTGCTTTTAGATTTGATAGATGGAATTGCCAAGCAACGGTAGAAGAGCCTTGTTTAGTGGTGAAATATTGAAATTTGAACTTAAGGGTCATTTGTGATGTAGTAAGATTCTTAGGAGCTTGGGAGACACGACAAAAATCAACACACCAGGCCATGCAAATTTAGGAGAACAACTTGTACTGCTTCTGAAAATTGATTCTGAATTTCAATCAAGGGAATCAAGGAAAAGCTTGATTTTTATGGTTGGATGTGTAGTAAGCTCTCAGAAGTGGAGTTGATGTCCTAAAAATAATATTATGTATATAATTTTATTCTGTGTTATATCTTTATATATATTTACATACACACACACTTGGGACACTGTAGTCCCAGGATACAGATTCAGGGTTCTGCTGTGGCAGAACATTCTGCCACACGGTTTCTGTACTTACAGTATCAGGGAAGATGGTTTTATCTTCAGTGCCACAATTTTGTGTGATTTAGTTACAAGGTGAAAACTCCAAGGAAATATTGGACAATAATAAGTGAACCTTTATACTGGATAATAACCAAGAAATGTGGAAAAGTGGGGTGATAGTGGAGGGGAATGCTTCTCTTTCAAGAAAAAGAAGTCCCATTTTTAATATTACTTTCTCCTTCCTTTTTTAGGTAACTGTGCATAATCCAGAAAATCAGAGCTATCTGATAGCATACAAAGACTCGCAACTCATAGTCTCCTCAGCTAAGTAAGTTGTAACAAAAGGACATTTTTGCAGAGCACTGCACGTGATAGGGCAAAAAATAAATTTGTCATACCAGAAGATTCAAGGGGGGGAAAAAACCCCATACTTTCCACTGTTGCTTTTCATTAAGTAATGCTCAAGTTAATTTGGATGAGGGTGTGGGTAACTACCTGAGTAATACCAATACGTAGTGGTATTATTGTTGGTTCTGTCGAAGCTGCAAGCTGTGGATTCAGCTCCTTCTGTACCAAGTTAATACAAACACAGAAGAGGGCAGTTGGGAAGCTACATTTATTTATTGTGTTTTCATTATGCTTAAGTGTTTACTGAAATGGAGTGTAATGGAATTGACGGTGTAACTAAGAATTAAGAGAGTGAAACTCTGTTCTTAGCTGTTCTCCCTGGCAAAGATGCTTGTACAAACATCTCAACGCATTTATCAATCTGGGTGAGGTCTCAATTGACTGGCAGAGATTGTATCGTCTTGTACTGCTCTTCATAAGAGAACAAATTAAGCTGAAAATTTGACTCTGCAGACCTCATTGGGAACATAATTTCATGGTTGTAGGTTAGATATTTTCAGTATTTCTTTAAAAAAAAAAACACAAACCAACCAACCACAGTTTACTGTGCTGTTTAGACCAATATATATTTTTTGACATTTTTAGTTTTGTTTGTAATTGAAATCAGTATTGTCAGTTTAACCTCAAACTAATTGTCATGCAGTAGAATCATGCCTGTGGACCAGTAGTGTTATGAGATTAAGATTTTACTGCTAGGAAGTCACGCGTCCTTTATTTATTTCTTACAGAGTGGAAATAGCTCTGAGGACAGAACAAGAGAACATTTAGATAACACTGTCAGAATAATGTTGTGCCTCAGTGGTCAGAGGATATGAGAGTCTGGGTTTGTAGGGAGAGGAGATATCTTTTGTAAGACTGTGTGATGAAGCTGGAAAGAAAAATTAACTTTTGCTCTTGAAATCTCAAGCTGATAAAGCTCTAAGCCACAGAGCTTTCCTGGTTTTTGTTTTCGCAGTTTGAGTTGAGCTCATAAAAGATTTTATAGGTGATAAGTTTATTATCTCTCCCTGCAGACTGGGCATCTGGGCATCAGAAAAATTCTGCATAAGCTCTGTATTTGAGGTTTTTTCCTGGTGAGACAAATATAAAGGTGGAATGTCCTGTATGTTGTGAAGGTAATTTTGTTCTGCATCTTCTCCCTGCAGAGCACTGCAGCATTGTGAGGAGTTAATCCAGCGATATAATCGTGCTGAAGACAGTATCTGTTTACCAGACAATAAGCCTCTGCCTCACCAGAATGTAACAACTAACCATGTGGGTAAAGCAGTGGAAGACTGTATGAGGGCCATCATTGGTGTCTTGCTCAACCTGACAAATGATAATGGTAAAACAAACAAAAAAAATTTTGCATATTCTGTGTTAAAGCATCGCATAAAACATTAACGTAAACCCTTTTCTTACACTGATTGTGGTTTTTCCATGTACAGTGCAATAAAACAGTTATGTATGGTGGATGCTTGCTTTACAGTAATCAGTAATTTGCATTTGCAAATTGGATGAGTAATTGCAAGTATTAAGTGTGAAGATGCCTGCTTTGGCTAAGAGAGTCCTGTTTGTCTTTAGGGCCGAAAGGCCTTTTGTCGATCTGCTTAAAATTATGAAAAGGAGCATTTTCAAAATTGAGCCTCTAAACACTTTTTTTTTTTTTTTTTTTCCCAGAATGGGGTAGTACAAAAACAGGTGAACAAGATGGTCTGATAGGCACAGCTATGAATTGTGTGCTTCAGGTTCCAAAGTTCCTACCTCAAGAACAGAGATTTGATATTCGGGTGCTGGTAAGCTATTGTATTTGTTACCTTAACATAAGGTGATTTGCCCCCTTGTGCATTTAACTACCATGGTTCCAAATTAAGAGGCAGCCCTTAGTTTTCATTGACCATATACATAGTTACTGAGGTACTTGAAGAAGGTTTCTGCAAGGATTTGGCGGTTTTGAGCTCTAACCATTTTCCCTGTGTTTGGTGGGGAGAAAGTGCACTGCTAGATGAACAAAGAGGTTTAGCTAAATAAGTCTGTGAATTACCTAGTTTTCAAATGTCTTTTCAACTTTAGAAATACGGTGAATGTTACTGTTTGAGATAAAGGCTTTGTCAAATTTACCTTAGCTTGTGTAAAATGGGTCTGCGTGGCCTAAATAGCAACAGTGAAATTGTCTATGTGAAGGGTCTTTTAAGAATACAAGCTGAAGGTTGGACACCTGAATCCCTAATCTGTAAATGAAATCTCATCTTTAAAAATGTTTTCAAGTTTAGAATCGGAAAAATGGAGATTCCTGCATACAAGTTCCAGTAATCAGGGATCTCAGTTTTGCCTCATATTTCTTTAAATCCTGATCCGTCTGTCTGTCAAGCTGTTTCATAAAGGTGCATTAGTAAGTTATATATCCTCAGAAAGAGAAGGCCTAAAGAAGACATTTATCTGGATAGATTTTTTTTTTTTTTTCCCCCCTGAATTATCCTTTTTTAATGTGTATCATCCTCTTTGACTCTCCAATTCTTGCAGGGATTGGGTCTGTTGATCAATCTAGTAGAATACAGTGCTCGGAATAGGCACTGTCTTGTCAATATGGAAACATCATGTTCTTTTGACTCGTTCTGTACGGGAGAAGGAGATGATAGCCTAAAGATAACTGGACAGATTGATGCTGTTCAGGCTTTAGTGCAGGTAAGAAATGTGTTTTTCCTGTAATAGTTACCATTTCTCATTATCAGACTGTCAAGAGGGGAGAACTCAGCAATGAAGATTTGTCAGAATTTTTTCCTGTTTAGTATTTTGAGTAATACAGCCTAGTGGGGGAAGAGGGGTGCTGCTCACAGTTTTGACTTTTCAGTACTGTCTGTTACAGAAACAGCTTTCTTGGTAAAAGACAGTGGTATCATTATTACAGACATCCAAAGGCTGCTCTCAGGCTCCATAAAGCTTTCTTGTCCCTGTACAGTTTATTTCTAGTTTTCTTTTTCCTAAACCGTTTACTTCTAGTATTGTTTTAAACCAGCTGTAAAAATTGTAAGCTACTCTTGTCTTACATACTTTGCTTCCATAGATTATTTTAAGTACTATCTTTTGGGGAGTTTGCAACTTTAAATTAAAAAAAAAGCAGTATCATGCCTTAGAAGAGCAATAAAATATGGATGTAATGATTATGGATGTTAAACAGCATTCTTAAATGTTGTATTGACTAACTTCTTAAAAAAAAGAAATCCACCAGTAATTTTGGTGAATGAGTTCCACAATGCAAACTAAAATAAAAGAATTTAAAGGAAATTACAGCCTTTTTATTTCAATGGAGAAAATTTTATGGGCGCTTTTAGCAGTTGTTGTATTTAACTATGTGAAATAACTGTCCAGCAGCAGACAAAAAATATCAACAATAAAAGTAATAATATTAAATATCTTAATATAGAGCTCTGCAAAGCAGTATTTAAAACTGGTGGTTATATGGTTTGGGAAACAATTTGCAAGATACGAGTGCACAATAAGAGATTGCTGGTTCAGTCACATCCTTGATAAGTCATTTTAAATTACTCTTTAAATTTTTGCTTTTTACATATCGAGGGCAAAGCTGAGAGAGCAAAGAGGGGATAGCTAGCATGAAAAGAAAATGAGGATTGGTAGAGAACAAAAATGGACAGGAAAATATGGCAACTTCTAGTCTTCAAGCTGTGTCTCAAAGAAAACGATTCAACATCTACGATGCTGAAGAGGAGCCTGCCCACTGGTTCAACACAGGGGAGGGAGGGAGGCCTTTTCTGTAGAGCACAGCGTTAGCATTGGGGTAAATTGTATTTTCCTTTGAAGAAGAAAAGGCTACTGTTAAGAAAAGTATTGAAGACTAACTTTATTAAGGGGTAAATTGTGAAGGGGAAATAAACTTTCAAGTATTAATTCAATGTGTTTAGGGTTTAATTTATAACAGAAATTCTCCTGAAATGTTCCCCATTAGCTATTTCTTGAGCGTGAGCGAGCGGCACAGCTGGCTGAGAGCCAGACAGATGAATTGATTAAAGAAGCTCCTACTGCTCAGCATGATAAGAGTGGGGAATGGCAAGAGACAAGTGGGGAGATACAGTGGGTCTCCACAGAAAAGCCAGATAGTACTGAAGAGAAAGATAAGAAGGAAGAAGATGATGAAGAACTTGATCTTAATAAAGGTACGTTGTCTGGTTGTGATGAGCTTAGAAAAGGCAGAGCGCTCTGTGATTGCATAAATTCCCACCTTGTTCTCTGCTTCCTATCCGCATGCAGTCTCTTGGGCTGAGATTTCCACAGTGTACCCCCCAGGTGAAACTGTTACAGATCATAAGTAGAAGCAGTTCAGAGCTGAAGCATGAGAAGTAGAAGTTGCTGTGCTACTTCTTATTTTCTTGATAGTACCTTCTATCAGTTCCCTTTTCTTAAAAAAAACAAACCAAACCCAAAAGAACCCAACCTTTTTAGGGACATTCTGTGTAAGAAATATTCTGGAAGGGATGGCCTTTAGGCCTTTATCTTGTTCTTCTGAAACAGTCCTTGAAAGTTACCTGCCTTAATTTTGTTTTCCATGGTATCATGACCCGTTCTTGTTTCATGCTACTTTTAGGGTTTTTTTTCCTCCCCTCCCCATTTGCACATATGCTGCTTCTGTCCCCACCTTCTCTGTGTCTGAGTTCTTCTCACTCCATCGATGGTACCTGTGTAATGCCTTGATGTGCTGCATCTTTGGTAGTTTGTTCCAGGAATTTGAGTATCTCTAAGCTGAATTATGTAGTTTGTCCCTGGAAAACGTATCAGGTCTGACACATCAGTCCGTCTTCTAATAGTAGGTGCAGTGTATTACGTCTAATAGTGTTTCAGTCTTCTAATAGTAGGTACAGTTTATTACTTTCTCCAACCTTGCTTTATATCCTTCCTCCTTTTTGTAGCTCCGTCAACCAGTGTCTGCAGCTATTTGTGGTTTGCCCCAAAATGCAGAGTCATTAGCAAAAAGTGCTGTATCTGTTATCCTTAGTACAATAAACTCCTTTTGGTGGAAGTCTTACTGGCTTACAGTATTGCATGAAACATTTATATTTGTATTTTGGTGTGTTAAGCATACAGTTTGCGCATTAAAACAGCAATTAATAAAATACTATGCAAGGTAATGAATTGAAAGCAGATGAACGCCGTTTTTCTTCAGGGGTTTGCTGATGGGTTGGTAAGTGTGGGGTTTGTCTGATTCTTGCCTCTGAAGTCTCGGTCCAAAGGCTCATTTTGTTTGAGAAAAAAGAATTCTGAAAAGTGATAATGAGAGATTGTATTTGAAGCGATAAAAGATACCAGCTGCTTAGAGAATACAATACACTCCGTTGTCTCTCTTTACAGCTCTTCAGCATGCTGGGAAGCACATGGAAGACTGCATTGTGGCCTCATACACAGCATTGCTTCTAGGCTGCCTCTGCCAAGAGAGTCCAGTAAGGGAATAAGTCAATAACTTGCTCTTAAGTCCAACACAATTTTTAGTGAAGTAATGATTTGCAGTATTGAAATGGATTTATTAAACTAGGGTTCAGTGTGAGCTAGTGCATTGATGAAGCTGCACTGATGTATATAGTTTTGTGAAAAGTTGCCAGAGATACTCCATCCAAAACACATTTTCTGAACGTCAGTATGTTTATCAAAACCAGTTGGAATTGAATATTTAACCTCCTCCGTCTCTCTCCCCTTTGCAGTTAGTCTGAGCCAACAAATGAACTTACTTTGGAAAGGCAAAGGAAAATTGGCTCGCCTGTTCTATAATTATAAGAGCTTGCTTTATTTTTCAGTAGTTTCAATAGGCAAGTTAACATCACATGTGTTTACTCTTTTTTATCAGTCTGCTTTATTTTTTCCTCCGTGGAGATCACATGAAATTGTGTATGTCCATATTTGTTAAGATTATTGCCTCAGGTTGGAACTACATAATAGAAAGCTGAAGTTAAAACTTAAAAATATGGAACTCTAACAGCCAAGGACTTGATAAACTCTCCTGTCAAATATATGCTCAAATGAAAATGAGGTTCAGACCTGCCTTCAGGCATGATAGCAGAACTGGTCTTTACCATGCTGTTCTGTACCTTTTGACTGATTAGCTTCTGTACAGTTTTAGTGTTTGGAGTGATCCTGGCAATTAGTTCAATAATTCTCAACCCTTAACAATTGTAAAGGGAGATTCTCTTCATGACAGGAGAGTAATCTGGTGGGGTTTTTAGTTCTTGATAATCTTGTAGGTCCTGCGGAGGTCTGACGGTAATGATCTTTGCGGGGGGGAGATTTTAGCAACTGTTGTTTCCTAGAAACATAAACACCATAAATGTGCGTACTGCTTGAGAGAGACTGAAATCATAGGGATGACAGCAAAAGCTGTCTTAATAATGCTATGAATATACTTGTCTTATTGCATCTCACATGCAGAGTAATAATAGTTCTGTGTCAGAAAAATATTTCCCAAATTAAAATAGATTGTTTTGTTTCTTAGATCAATGTGACTACTGTGAGGGAGTACTTACCGGAAGGGGACTTCTCGATAATGACTGAAATGCTCAAAAAATTTCTCAGTTTTATGAATCTTACTGTAAGTAATATATATTTTAAATTGATATATGTAGATGTTTTTGTAATTGCGTTTTCTGTCAATAGTCCATACATCTTAGAAGCATTCAACATTTTTCAGTTTGTGCCTTTAGCAAAGCACAGGATGATTTTCTGTTTTTAAACACTGAAGACCCGTTTGTCTGTCACTATTTTGGTAGTAAATGGAATGAAGCTACTTCCATTCCATTCGACTGTGACTGGTCAGGAAAATATTTTTGAATCATCTGCCCGAGCCTAATTGCTTTTACTGATACGTAATTCTAAATACTAAAGTTCTGAAATGAGCATAGCTCTCAGATATTTTAAAGAGGTGTTACAAATGCTTGTTTGTTACTTCTGTTTTCTGTTACGTTTTCCAGTGTGCTGTTGGAACAACAGGCCAGAAATCTATCTCTAGGGTGATTGAATACTTGGAACACTGCTAGATACTTAACTTCCGCTGCAGGCACTCTAATGCTGGAGCTACCCTTAGACAAAAGAAGTCGTCATGAAAGAAGTCCTTGAAGGATATACCAAGAGCATTCATCTGTGTCATTCGTGTTCGGATTTTTAAGGCTACCTGGTCTCTTAACCATGCATTCAGCATTTTCTAAAAGACAGTTACTACATCAATCTGCAACTATCAAAAATGAGGGGAAAAAGGTTCTGAGGAAAATAAATAAAGAAACCATGCTGTTTATGATGCAGTGCAGTATTTAAATATTTTTTGGCAGGGTTTACCCTCCCTATCTTTTTTCTTGCTTTGTTCGTGACAAGTTTCAAGGGGAAAAACTTGCTGCTGATAGTGCAACTGCTGTTTACTGTTGAGCCACTGTTTCATGCCAGCCAGGTGCAAAGGCAGCTTAGCTACTGAGGTATCAAACAAATGTTCTAATAAAGAAGTTCTGGACAGCAGCACCGCTCCTATTTGAGTTTAATTTGCTCTTGCTTTTTTATTACTAGATTATTCCAAAATCATAAAATATAAATTTTTAAATACTTTTGTGATTTTAACTACTGTCTATATTTAAAATTTGTTGGAATCCAAAGAGGCGAGGATTGGATAGTTTATTTTTTATACTGTTTTGATTGAAATTAGGTTGTTGAACTATTTCTCAGTTCTAAAACTGTCATGGCCCATGTACTGTAAACTGATAGACCATAACACTTTGTAGTTCCAAGAAGCATGCGAACCCATAAACACACAAAGCCATTTGAGGGTATGTTATCCACAAAAGAAACAGTAACTGTAAAAAGTTGTGCCCTGTTTAAAAAAAAAAAAAAAAAGAAAAAAAAAATTAAAAAAAAAAAATATATTCAATCCCAGGGTAGTTTACACTTCTAATAAGCAAAAACTTTGAAATGCTGTTTTAATTTGTTTCAAGGAAGCACTCGAGATGTATTTTATAATGCTCAATACAAAGAATTTGGATGTTTTAGGGGGAAGAATTTTAAAGAAGCTAAAACACCAATGGGGATTAATGTTTCCAGCTGACATAATCTTTCTATTTCATTCTTCTGTAGTATGACAAAGTTTAAATGCATACAACACAAAGCCTTAAATTGCTGATATAGCTAAGATTTTGTTCAGTCTGAGGTCTAGTTCACAGCAAAGCATTGTGTTTGAAGACTTAAGTGGAACAAAGAATCCCAGAAAATACATGACTTTTTTTAAGAGGTTTTTTTTTCTTGCACTCATTATTCAGACCAACAGAATTGGTAATTATTTTTATTAAGCTGGTCTTGAATATTTGCAGACTGTTCTGAGATCTGCTTCGCTGACATTTTTAAATACCTGTACAGGTAGTTACATCATGTTATTCCATTGAATTTGTAAAACTTGAAGCCATAAAAATATTAGTTCTATGTATAATGAGGGGGAAATAACAGGAAATCTAATCTGCTTTTAGATCTTGTGTTATCTCCATGTATAAAGTTAAGAACTCGTGCTTTTGTATCAGTGCCAGCTGTAAATTTTTTACATACAGTGGCTGCCTTCTATGTCTTCCTATTTTTGATAATGCAGATTGTTGGGAATTCTGTAAGGAAGTAACTGATTAGCGGCAAAAATCCTATGTTGGTCATACTTTTTTGCGTTTTCTCTCATCACCTTCTAAAACTTAGTGTATCAGTGTAACTTAGAAAAGTTTTTGAGGTTGTATTCCCCTTTGTTTAAAAAAAACACAGTATTGAGAGAGAGAGAGAGAAGCTGTATGTAAATGATCTGCATCAGGAGGAAATTACTGAGTATTTTGCCCAGCTAGTTTTCTGATTTTGGAGATTTTTCTCTTATAATGGGATTTCAAATCGATTATCTAGTTTTCTGTGGAGAGATGGCAAGAGAAAATAAATTCAGATGTGATGATGGGGGAAAGCAGGGACAACTACCTTTCTTTGTTACACTGGTAATTGTTTGGGAATTGATTTACCTCAGTGTTTAACAGTTTTTTTTAAATGTAACTAATTGTCAAGCACTGACAAATGCAGATTATTTTTTTTTTGAGGGTGGGGGGAGAAATCACCCTGTGAACTGCAGTGCATTTTTGTGTGTTAGACCCTCAAATAACTCTGCGTTAAAGGGTACTTGAGGCCAACTTGCAAATTAAAGTTTTAAAGTAACTTTTTTTCCATTGTAAATATTTGTGTAAATACTCTCAATTGGAAATTAGAACAGTAGAGTACTTTTCTGAATCCAATCCTATTTTTATTTTATACAGTATTTCTCAGCTGTGATCTTTGGAGCAAAAGCCAACGGCAGGAAAAATAGTTTGTACCAGTTTCATGAAGTATGTCTTTGGGTTTTTGTAAATAATTTTAACTCAAATAAAATTGCTACTTTCAATACATATCTTGTCTTTTAACATGTAATAAAACACTCCTGTGAGTGATTGCAGAAAGAAGGCAGTGTCAGGTAAATTGTTAAAAGGAAAAAGAAAAAAAAAAAAAAGAGGGAAAAAAAAATAGAGGAGCTTCCTGAAGGTAGTGCTCTCTTTTTCACTGGCATGCTGGGACAACAGAATTCAGTGCCTGGACCTGAGGCTGTGGTCAGTCAAACCAGCTAAGGCTTGAAGTTTTCTGGATATGATGTATTCAATCTGTTGATGCATTTTGGAGTTCTCCACGCACGTTACTATTGATCGTTCAGCTGAAGGGGCATGTAACAGCTCTGAAGAGCTATAGTTAGAATAACAAAAATACACTAAAGCATAGGGGAAATGGGGCAGCTCTTGTTACGGTGATGCTTTTCACATCATGGGGGATGTTAATGGCTTCTTTCTTCAGTGAAAAATGAGAAAATTACCCATGAGCATTGCTCTGTTTCTCTATTAATATGAATGAATTTCAGACTGCATTTTCTCCCATGGATTTTTTCTTAATTGATACAACTAGATACAGGTACAATATGCAATAATTCATGAGCTGTAAAGCGACTTGAATGTGATGTGTTGTCTCTTGCCACTTTAACAAGCATCAGCATAATGTAAGTTTATTTCTGTGCTGTGAAGGGGAAGTTACTGGAGTTTGAAATACGAGGCAGTATGTCATTAGTATGTGGCACTGTAGGAGGCAAGTACAGCTTTATATAAGCAAATGTTTTCCAAAAAATCCTAACATCCGGTAAAAGTATTTCCTCTTGATTATTCTGTGGGTAGATATGTAATGGTAGCATTATGTGTGGATGCTTTGAGATGACATCGGCATTTTCAGATTAACAGGACAATTGTGAAGCTTCTATAGAAGATTTGGCAGTCATAGCCTTTCATATAATTATTTCACTTTCTGGCTGTTTTGAAATGCACTATTTGCATTACAACAAAGTGGTCCAGCATGATCTGTACAGCACTGATTTATCAGAAGCTTAATGTCAAAGCAGGTAGCTGTGCTGCAGATGATTTCTCAAGCTGGCCTAATGGAGTTGGTTTTGTGCTGTCAGCAAATTGAGTCTCTCCAAGCAGAAGAGTGGACAGCGATCACAAAGGTATAAAAGCTTCGTTCTTCCTCCGGAGCTGAGCATCTGTGCCAAGCGTGCAGCTGGAATAGTGCGGTTCTGCTAGGGATTGGAATAATCGCGCCACGGCCGCTTCTGGGTGGATGAGAAGATAGTGGAAATTCTCATACCAATTTTAGGGTGCTACATGTGTTAACTTTTTCTGTAACAGAATATTCTAACAGGAGTTCTTGCTTTTAACCATGTTTTCAGGCTCAGGTACCTCACTGAATTGATAAAGATGTTTTTGGTGTCAGATGCACTAGCGAGTGAGTATTCTGTCCCCCCTCAATATTTCCTTTCTGGACATCAGTAATTCCTCCCTTGAGTAAGCAGGAGTCAAAGCGTACTTGGTTAGCTGGGGCTATTACCAGGCAAGCCCACCTGGCTTTTTCAGTAAAGTGGGGTTGGTTTGGGTTTTTTTTTCCTTAATGTGGTATTTTCCTTGTTTAATGGCAAGGAAAACAAAAATGTGTATTTGAGCTCAAAAGATAAAGAGGACTTAAGTAGCTGCCATTCTTCTGCATCAAGCCCTTCCTGATAGGATGGCTCGTTAATTGGGTTTTTGACGATAATGAGATTGGAGTTTGCCCTGAATCCTGCTAGCCAAGTGTTTTTGAAAGCAGGCCAATGTAATTCTTGATGCTGCTGCTTCTCCTCCTCTGTGTTATACGTTAATTCAGCTTTGGGTAAAGGACACTACTGGATTATTTTAGCTGCTTGGAACAGAAGCCATTCATACATGCTCTGTTTTTTACCTGCCCTAAAGGTCCCCTATCAAAGGGACTGTAATTATTTTAAGACGTTTGCAGCATCAGTAGGTGCAGATAGTCTTACTGTAAATAAAAGCGAAACCATTATAAATAATGCAACTGCCTGAAGTGCTTATCCAAAGGTAGATTCATTTACTAATGCTACAAGGATCTTTATTTCATCTGGGAAACTTGAACTTTTGTTTGCAGCTATAGGTTAAGCCTCAGGTTGCCATGCTGGGTGTGGGATGTCTGTGTGGGACAAGAGGCACTCTCTGGTGGTGCAGAGGGTGTTGTAAGGAGCCCTGGAAAAGGCCGTCCTCCTTGGGGGGAGTGAACTACCCTAGACACTGCCTGCAGTTTGACAGGCAGACGTGTTCATATCTTTCACCTCTTGTCTTCCAAACTGTATCTCTAAGTCTCCTGACCCCCAACTTTTGCTACTACGGGTTGAACTTCCATTTCATCAGCTTAGAGGAGTAAAGGCCAAAGAATTTCTTGAGATGTGTAGAAAGCTACATTACTAAATAAGATAAAGAGTTGTTCAGACAGTACTACCTATTTCCTTTTATGCTCACTGCGCAGACTAAAAATTCTCGTCTGTCTTAGGTGATTCAAAGTTATTTAGAGGAAGGTTCATTGTTGGATAAATATTAATAGTAAGGTAAACTTTGGCAGGGTAAAATTAGGTGATACAGAAAAGAAGACTCTCTGGAGCAAAGGAAAGAATAACAGGAATTTTATTTAGATTTACTGTTTAGTGTGGGAATTCTTTGTTTCCTGTATTACAACAGAAGATTTAATTGTGTCTCTGCATTTAGTATTTTAAAAGTGGGGAGGAAGAGTGTTAACCTGGAGTGTGGAGTGGATTAAATGATTTTTGTTCCACCTGTAAAGCTGACCCTGGGATTGTGTCCTAGAACAACAGTTCAGTGTTGGTCAAGTGAGTGAGTAATAATAGTTCGTGCAAGTGTGTGTTGCTCTTTTCCCGAACTTTCTAGCTGTCACTTTACCCTCTTAAGAGGATTAAATACATTCTCACTGCTGAAAAGGAGGAGTAAAGACACTGACAAGAGGATGTTCTAACAGGAGAAAGATTTGAGTCAAAGGTGCACCTAAGAGTTTATGTTTAACTGTGGGGATGAATATTTAACACCTGGACAAATATTTCCATGAAAGACCCAAACCAGACTTCTTCAACAGGTTCTTAACTTGCATTGTTTTCTTCTTCAAATTCACTCATGTTTAACCAATAGAAACCAAAACTTGAGAAAAGTTACAAGGCCTACATTTTGAAGGAAATAAAAAAGACCAAATACAGATACTAGAAATAATTTTACTTTTTCCAGCCAGTAATTGACCAAAGCAGATGTATTTAACTAGCCTGTTTGATGGGAGGAGGGCTGGTGAATGTGGCTGTGATGTGTGTCCTAGTGACAGTTGCTGTTTGGTTTCCTTCTGCATTACAGTATTCTACTTGGTGGAAAGCAAACCTTGATGAAAAATGTGTGGGAATGTATGTACGTGCGCACACACAC